ATACACTTACCTTGCACACCTTTTCGTTTTCATTCTCTTATCCTCTTGGGGACAGGTGGAGTGATTAGAAGAGACCTCTTTTGATTTATCTTTCTGGAAATGCTCCAGAAGCCATTAGCTTTATCGAAGTGTCTCTGGCATGGTTGGGGAAGGGAGCAAAAGTGGAGACTTTTTGAAAGTTGTATTTGGTACCTAGTTTGTTGAATAACTTCAAGTCAGTTGAAAGAAGCATTCTGGAAAAGGAAATCAGCAGGGAAAACCAGGACCCTTCCCCCTCCCTTCCCCCATACGAAACAGGTGATGGATTTAAGTCCCCTTCCTTTCCATTCTTTTAACAAGATATGATGATGATGATGATGATGGCCCTTTGTCCTGGCCAATGGTTACCAAAGGACACAGCCGCTGAAGGTGTGGATTTTGTGTTTGTGTTTACACATGGGTTAGGTCAGAACAAGCAATGGCTGATAAACTATTTCTGAGCAAGTCCATCTGATGGCACAGAGAACGTGCATGTGTGGCAGGAGTACATGTCCTCATGTCTCCTGAACACTTGACTTTCAGGTCCAGACCCAGGCATTTCTCCCCCCCACCCCCATCCCCCAGTCTCCAAGGCTTTGTTCCAGGGTTAATTTTCTGGTTGAGTTCCCCTCCCCTCCCCTCCCGTTCTCCTCCTCCTGAACTCCTGCCCTCCTTGAACTGACGGAGGAGCAAGATGGGCTGTGCCACCCAGACCTCTAAGCCCTCCTCTGGGGGTGTCAAGAGATAGCCCAGATGGAGCTGGGCTTTGTCTGGGTGGGGCTGACTTGGGGCCAATGCCACAGGTCAGGTGGGAAGGATTAGAATGAGAAGCCAGAGGGAGGGCAGCTCTTCTCAGAAACCACTGAGCCCCCACTTGCCAAGTCACCTTCAATCCCACCACTCCACTAACCTCTATCATGAATTAGAATTAGAGCACACAAACTTATTTTTCTCTGGTAGATGGTGTGGTAGTCTTGTCCGAGACCAATCCTCACCTCTGTGTGGATATCTCATGCTGGAGTTTCCAGACTCCAGGAAAGCAAGGAAAGAAAGGGCAGGAGTGTTGGCTCATTCTAAGCAGGCACTGGGAAGAGAGATTGTATTGCCTCAGCCCCTCTTAATATCCAGGTCAACTTTATCTGTGTCTTTGACTCTCCCTCTCTTTGTGTAATTGCTTTGGGCTGAGTTCCTGAGCTGAAACATCATTGTCCTGGGCTTTAATTCTGTGCTTTCCTTTCCTGGAGAGACAGGCACTGCTCTGAGCTTCCTCCTCAGTGGGATTGGAGACCCTGGAGCCCTTAGAGGTGGAGAAGGGACAGAATCTGGATTCAGGACCCCAAGCTAGGGCTTTCTGGCTTTTTGAAATTCAATTTCAAGAAGAGGCTAGCTGTTAGAGGGCCAAGAAAACCACGTCCGTTTTGTCGGGTCTTTGTAACCCAGAATGGTGTGTCTGTAGTGATACCTCCCTTCACTGCTTTGATGGGGCCCCAGGAGCCCAAGGAGTCTGGACTGAGGAACTGAGATGATAGAGATCTCTTTGTCCTTGAGTCCTACAGAAGAACCCTGGGATCCATTTTCTTCTCCCACTCCTGGGAAGCTTCACTGTGTGTGGGTGGGGGTGGGAGGGAGATGAAATTTGGGACTTAGGGAAGTTGGGCTAGGTTATCCAGGACCTTGTTCAGCCTCTGATGACCAGGCCTTAGAAGCTAGAATGAGAGGTTGACCAGAAGGCTCTGGGCATGCTAGGGAGCCTTTGCAGGACAGAGGCTACTTCTCTACACTTGACACAAGTGCTATGATCTGCAGCCCCATATTGGGGAGTGTGGAATGTGTGGGCTCAGTTCCCTGGGATCCCTTCAGATCTGCATGTGACACAGCTCTCAGAGAGGTAGAGGAGGCTGGGTTCTGCCCTTGAAAGATCCCCAGTTCTCTCAGCCCCCCAGCCCAGATCACCACACCTGAACAGACAAAGTATATGTATGTGTCCAAGTGTGTATGAAAGAGGTCTGAAGGCCAGGCTGGACACAGCAAACCAGCCTTAAACTAACTTCCCAGTAGCCCATGATTCTTCCCATCAGCCCAGCCTGAAGACCATTTGTCCTCCCCTCCCCACTCATGCCCTCGAGCCCTAGGCATCTGTTAAGTTTCTTCCCTTCTGCCTCCCCAGAAAACCAACCCCCTGGAGCAGCCCCTACAGATGGGGGCAGCCAGGCTCTTGGTGACCTTTAGTGGCCTGTTGGCCTGTTGAGTTGTAGGGGGCTGGAAGGCCATGTAGGACTCTGAGGCCAGATCCTTATCTGATCAAATCTGCTCTTCAGGCTTAATTCCAAATACCTTAGGGCTGCTTCTCTGCTCAGATAGTGGAGAAAATTCTTGTCTAGTAAATACTTCTTTAAAAAGTCAACATTCTGGCTGGAAAACCCAGTGTGTGTGTGAGTGTGTGTGTGTGTTTGTGCGTGTGTGTATGAAGCGAGTAAGGGTCAGGTCCCTCATTTTACACTGTGTCTCTCCCCCTCCTCTGGGTGGAGGATGGGGGCGTGGGCTGAGGTTTTATTGAAGGTGCTTTTCCTGTTGGGAGTAGACATGGGGTCATAAAGCCTAGAGGAGGCTGTTTTGATCTGGTGACTTCTCAGGAAGTAGCGTTTGAGCTTTTGCTTTGTAAATCACTCTCCCCCAAGCTGGCCAACTAGATTGGATTGCACTTCTCCAAGCCCACCTGGGGCCCTCCTTACCTCCCTTTCCCCAGTAAACCAAAGCAGAAAAATCAAAGGAAGTCCAGGGCTCCCCAAATCCTCTGCCTCCAATAAGAAAAGGGCTCATTGGTGATTTTCCCCCCTCAAAACTCCAGATTTAAAAATCATGCCATCTTTTATTTTCTTTTGCCCGTACAGACCTTGCTTCCCCCAACCCCTTAGTTAAAAAGGAGCTAACGTGGAAAGCAATCAGCTTCTGAGCCTGGTGGTAGATACCATGACTCCTGGGGGCTCTACTCTCTTCTGGGGCCGCTGTCTCCCTGTGATGTCTTTCTTGAGGCCCAAACCCCTTCTTGACAGGGTGGGAATTCAGGTCTGTAAGAGAGAGCTCGTGAAGAGAGGGGATGGGAGGGGGGCATATAGATGACCCCATCTAGCATTGTATGAATGGAGGAAACTCTCTGCAGTCAGTGACTGGGTTTTATGTAATTAAGATGGGTGCAGGGTAGTGTGTGAAAGCCCACAGTCTTCTCACATCTCCCTCTAACCGAGCTGTTGCCAAAAACAAATTTTACCTAAATGGCTCCATTTTGTAATGTTAATGAGCCTTCCCCTCCTAAAGACACCCCAGCTTCCCATGGATCCGTCCCCCAGCTTTGGGTTAGGGAGCTAAAGGGAAAAGAAGGAAAGAGTCCTCTACCTCTGTCTCAGTTCGGGCTACATCAAGTCAGGATGCTTTCAGGCCCAGTTGTCAGGGCTCCTATCCATCGCCAGAGAGATGCCCCATATGCTGGAAATAAGGCCATAGATTATATGAGTCCCTGGGCCCTCTTAGCACTTACTTGTACAGGCTTCAGTTTACTCTCATTTATTTCCCAGGGAAGTCTGGGCTGGGGCATCCCAAACCCACAAGCATCAGAGAATCTCCCTCATTCCTAAGATTCGATGCAAATACACGTGTCTTTACAGAGAGCTGAGCAATCCCATAGTTGTATACGTGAAAATGTATTTATAGATTGCTCTGTGTATAACAGGATGTGTTTTACATCCCTCTCTACTCCACATTTAAATGCAGATTTATAGATATTTAGATTTATAGATACACAGTGAACGTAACAGTCCTCTGTTAAACTCCTGTGTACACATTACCAATCTCTCTATAGTGTTGGATGTATAAGCTGGGATGTCTCTCCCTAAATATCTGGATGAATAATTGGTGAGTTTTTTCCCTCAGTTGGAAAGAACTCTGCGTGTGTTGCTCAATCTCTATTTTGAAAATTTTATCTAGATTTATGCAGAAGTCCCAACTCATAAAATAGCTACATATTGAAGCTACATATTTGGAGATCTTTATAGTCTTTGCAATTTTGCTGCAAACTTAAATATTTGAAAGTATGTTTAGAGATGGTTCCATAATGCATGTATCTATATGTAGGGACATAGATCTCCCTCTAGAAGGACTGACACTTACTGCATCTCTCTGTCTCTCTATCTCTGTGTCAATAAAGACATCAGGTGAGTGGGGATAGGGAACAAATATCTCTGGGCTGTCTTGCTTATTAAAGGGAGTGATTCTGTTGCTATCTCCAAGGCTGAGTCCAAATGAGTTATTTGCCCCTGAAAACCTGCTCTAGGGACCACAGTCCTCTCCAGGCTGTCCCTGTGACCTGAAATCCCAGCCCAGGCTCCCCAACCTGCAGTACCTCCCAAGACAGTCACTAAGACGGGAGAGAGAAGGGAAGAGCCCTCTAGCTCCGCTCCTCTTGGCTCCCAGGGTGGAGAGGCTGACGGAGGCGTTGTCCCCCCACGCCAACTGGGCCTTTGAAATTTGGGGAAAAGAGCGTTCAAGTCCCCCACCATTTTTGTAGGGTGCCCAAATGGTGCCAGAGTCACTGCCCGACCCATAGATGCCTCCTCCCCAATTGTTCTTGGTGCCCAGGGCCCAATTAAGCGGCCGCCTCACTCCCGGCAGCCGAGCTCTTATCGGCCGGGATTGATGCCTCCGCGGCTCCTGTATATCATTTCCAAGATTTTTTCTGTCCAACTCCTCGGCTCCTTTGGCTTGCGCGGCTTTGACTAATGATTGCTACAGATGCCAACGTCTCCAGAATCCTAATAGCCAGACAGGCGGACTCTTATTTACCCGGCAACATTTCTGCGGGAAGGGGTGAGGGGAGAGGGGCTGAGGGAGCTGGGGCTCGGCTGTTGCATGTGGGGGGGGGCAGGGAGAAGGTTGTGACCAACTCACGTTTCACTGAACTTCTTCCCCAGTGAGAAAGACATTCCCAACTCCCTCCTCTCCCTGAGGGAAAAGCAGGATCATAAAATAGTGCTAATAGTAACTCAGAGCTCGCCTCATTGAAAAGGATCAAAGAACGAACAGGACATGGGGAAATAATCAGAGAAGTGTTTATTAGTTGTAAATAGATGAGAGATTAAGCAGGAGACCAGCGGTTTAGGGAGGAAAAAGAGGGATATTTTTTTTTCTTCCGGAGGAGAGAAAGGGGAGGTCAGCCACGGTGGGAGAAGGGGCTCCTTTTTAAAATTTCACGTCTTCCCTGTCCTCTCCGCACCCCGCATCTAGTCTTCCCGTCCGTGGAAATGCCTCCCGTCCTTCCCTTACTTCGCCTCACCTTCGGTCCCTCCGGTGTGGGACCGCGGCCACTTCCCAGAGGCTGCTCCGATGCCCGCTGGGGCTGCCCGGGTGATGGGGCCTCTATCTGGGGCTGGGGAGCAAAATGAGACCCAACGGCCAACTGCGGGCTGCGGGCCGCCGGCCCTGCGGTCCCACTCGCGCCGAAGTGGTGGAAAGTTGCGGCCGAATTCGCTTCTCCCGGCGCTTCTGGGCCGCCGGCGGGGCCGGGTCTTTGGGGGAAGCGGCTGGAGTTCCCCGCCGAGCCTGGAGCCGGGCGTCGCGCTTCCCGGGGTCTCGATCCATACCTTCCCAGACATATACCCCTCATTCGGGTGAAGAGAAAACAAAAACGCTGAGCGGCCCGGCTCCGAGCCCAGGCATGGAGTGCTAACTCCAACGCGGAACAATTTCTATCAGAGAATAACGGAGCACAAAATAATTCAGCAAGGCGGATGGGCAGGAGCACGGTGTGAGATCCCCGCGCGGTGAAGCGGCTGCAGAGCGGACCGCGCCGCACAGCCCGGGAGGACCATTTCGTTGGAGTGTAGGGCGAGGCCGCAGCCCGGACCCGGACCCAGCCGCCCGAGGGCCAGTCTCTAAATTACAGCCCATCAGGAGGACTCGGAAATGCAAAACAGGGAGCCGAAAGATTTAAACAGTCGGAGGCGGAGGCGTCCCGACGCGGCCAAAGCGAAAATCAATCACGTAATTAAAACGGGGAGAGGGCGAGGCCCGAGCTTGGGGGTCCGGGGTTCGGAGGAGGCAGCCAAGGTGCGGGCCGAGGTGGGCGAGCGGCCTGAGGATGGGGCTCTCCCGTCGCGGCCGGAGCGCGGAGGGGCTGCGGGGAAGTTTGTAACAGATCGCTATTGATTCCCGCTTGGCTGGAAAGAGCAGGCTGTGTGTCCTCTTCTAGGCCGGACCCTGAAGCCGCCCGATGGGCCCTTCCCGGGCTCCCCCATTTTCATGGGGTCGTGGCGTGTGGTGATCCCTGGGGTGCCCCGATCTGTCCAGGCAGGTTTGTCTGAGAGCGCAAGTGGCACCAAGACGTTGCCTCTGGGTTTAAGGGGGTAGAGGGAAGTGGCACCCTAGTTTCAGACACTTACATGTTGCCTTTGGACTGGATTCCCCCACCCCAGGAATCAAGGCTTGCCTTTGGAATGACTCTCATCTAGGCATCCAGGTTTGGAAGGGAGGTGAGTGGGCTTATTAAGGGGAGACTTGGGCCTGAGCTAACTGGACCCCTTTGGGCAGGGAACAAGAAGGAACAGTTCCTGGAGGAAAAAAATAAGGCACGCAGGGAGCTCTGTTTGTGAGGGAATGGTGTTCTTGTTATTACTGAGGTTAATGATGGTAATGATCAGGTATGGCTGGGTCAGCCTGGAGAGAACAAGCTCTCACAGCCCTTTCTCACAGAGGCTTCTCTGGAGAAGTCACCAGCTCCCCAACTTGGGTGTGATTGGGGCGAATAAAATGAAGACCTTTCCTCCCTTTCCCTGCCCTTTCCTCTCCCGTTCCTTAAGAACTCCAGAAAAAAAGGGGAAACCTTATAAAATCTTCAACTCCCCCCCATCATTTTCCTCTGCTCTCTCCAGTTCAGTAAAATGCATCATCTTTGGGCACTGGGCTTTTGCCGGGCGCCCTTCTTAGGAAGTTCAGCAGGCAGTTACTGGGCCAAGTCCCCATGAATTCTGTTTCTGACCCTGGAGGAGACCCAGGATTCTCTTGCCTGCTCTATTGGAATTCTCCCTCTATCCTTAGCCTTTCCCAGTCTCTACCTTCCTTGGTCCTGGGTGTCTAATCCCATGGGTCTCTGGCAGCTCAGAGGCCAAGAGCATGTTGAGATGCCCTCATCAGCTCCCCAAAGGGATCCCACCTTCCTATCGGCTTCTTAATTCTGGGAGCACTAGGTCAGGGAGCTCTTTGTAAGCCCCCCTAAGCCAGCCTAATTCCTAGATCTTTCAAAACCACATTTAGAGAGCTTTAAAAGTAAAAGTCCTTCCCCCCTCTAACAGGAAAGTTCAGGTTACAAATCTTCAGCAGCGCAAGCTTCCTGCAGCCATAAGTCAGAATTTTCAACAACAACAAAAAAGAGGAGTTAAAGCTTGCATCAAAGGGAGAAGGGGACACCCCAGCCCCAATTTTAAAGGGGATGCAATCCAGCAGCCTTGGACAAGAGTGGGGGCCTCACTTGACAAGAGTCAGTGAGGCCACGATGGGCAAGGAAGGGGGTGGGGAACCCAACCTCTAACTAACAATTTCTCCAGCATAAAAATGAAACATCAAATTCGTTAGCCCAGGGCCTTCATTTTTCCCCTTCCACATTATAACTAGTTATTGAACTCGTTGGAAGATCTAAAGGCCATTTGCGAAGAGACAAATTTCAATGGAGTTTCCCCATCAATAACCCCATGGCAGTGACCTATTGGAACAAGTCAAACACCCGAGGTGAAATGCAGGTCACTCTGTCTAACCAATATTAAAATGCAGCCACTTTTTAAAAAGCCACTTTAAACGAGATTTGAGGAAAATTGAATTCCAAGAAAGGCAAAGCAAGGAGGGGGAAATCCATGAGAGGACCTCGCCTATGGTCTCCGAATAAACAAGAGAGATTCATCTTTAATATTTAAAGGGGGGAAAATTAACATTCCATGATTGCTTTTTTTTTTTTTTTTTGAGACTATAAGCGATTCTAGGAGAAAAAAAAAGGTTGAGTATTTTCTGGTGACACTTCTGGGTTATTAAAATCATTTTAGACCAATTCATTACTTTTACTGACAAGAGATTTAAGAAAAAATCAATTAAGCATTTGCATATTCTTTTGCATACATTAGCCCTGCCTGCTGGCATTAGAAAGGGACAAAACACATACATATATACATATACACACACGGGGAAAAATGGGAGCCTTGCTTTAGTTTGGGGTTTTCAAGTTGCTCGGAGAAAAAATAAAAATGAAATGAATTACTTGATTGTATACCATCTAAAAGTCAATTTACTTGAGGAAGAAGAAAGAGACATGTTGCAATTTTTAATCTCTAAAACAACAACAAAAACCACCTACACACACGGGCGCGCATGCCCGCACACACCCACACCCTGCACTTCTGAGAGTGGGAAGTGGATTGACCCTCATTTTCCTTCTCTTTGCCCTCCAAGTCCTGAGTTGGTTCTCCCACTTATTTTTCTCCCTAGGAAAATCCAGGGATTCTGAGACGTGAGATTTTAAGGCATCGCAGAATCAGTGGAGCCGCTGAGGTCTCTCAGCCGGCAGCTTGTTACCGGGGAGGGGAGGAATATGGGTTATCCAACGGTCAGTATGGTAATCCGGGCACAATAAGGCCTCGCACACAATGGACACATATTTTTCTTCAGCGGTGTCAGAAGGGAAGCGCTTTGTACTGAAACATGTTTCCGAAAGAGAAACCAGATCAAGACTTAGAAAGGATATGGGGTGAGGGGGGCATTCAGACAGTGATGGCTTAGAGGCTGGCAAAAGGTGATCAGAAAAAATAAAAAATAAAATTGGGGCAGAGAGAGGTGGAGGGCAGAGCAGGGGTTGGAGATCCCTGGGCTGAGGAGGCAGAAGGGCGAAGCACAAAAGGAGATACAAGGATTCATCACGGGCAAGAACCGCTTTATTGCCCCCCACCCCAACCCGTTAAGCCAGTGCTAAGTACAGAAGCCCTCCGAAGGGATCTTATTTCTGTGCTTGCAATAATATCCTGGTGAAAATGTTCTTGTGTGTGTGTGTGGTAGAGTCTGGCTTGTTATTTTCCGCATAGGCAACTTTCTTGCTATTATAGGAGCCCAAAGAGAGGGTTTTGGTAAGTGATGTAGATAAGTGTGGGCATACTTGGGGGAATCTCCCAGATTTCACTTTCTGGATGTGCATATCGAATTAGCTGTGAAAACCTGGAATGAAAACTCCACAGATTTATGGCTGCATAAGGAGGCATTTAATACATTAATAAATGTTAATAGTATGAATGCAAATATATTTGTTAGCAGTAATAACCAAAGACGGATTGGACACGTGGTTGGAGGCATCTGAACTCTCTGGATCTACTTACACGTACTGGCCTGAAGTGGGTTTCGGGCTCCCGTTCCCTCGACCCACCTGCAGGAGCTCTGAATCCTAGGGAGTGGTGGTGTGAGATGTGCAATGCCTTGGGAAGGACTCCCTAATTAAGACCAAGAGGGTGAAGAGATGGAAGAAAAGCGAGCTGAGGCGGGGGCAGGGCTGCTAGAAGGTGAATGTGAGGACTGCGAGGAGGGGAGCCAGGTGGAGCAGAGATTATTCCCTACCTGGATGAGGTGGGGCTACCTGATCCAGGTGCAGGCCTAGAAGGGAGGATGGGGGTGGGGCTGGAAGGCTTTCTCCCTCAGCAGCCTTCCGCCCACCCTACCTGAGCTCTCAGGGACTTTGCCTCTCCCCAGGCAGCAGTCTGGGGCTGGGTTCAGAATTTTTATGTGGATCGGCAGTCAGCATTGGTTTCCCTCGCCACTTCCAACAACTTATAATTAACCTATCCCCCTCCCACCAATAATAAAACCCTCACGCACTCCAAATCACTGTCAACCAAGCAGCAGCCTTCCCCTTCTCAGTCTCAAGTTCCTCTTCCAACCAAACCAGCCAGTCCTCACACGCAGAGGGTCCCGGACAGGAGTGGGCAGGAGTTCTCAACCAACTTTGGAAATCTGAGAACCTCTTCTAAGAGATGGTCAACCTCCAGGGAATTCCGGTTCTCTCACCCATCTGGTGGTAGGGGTCGGGCACTGACCTCTTGGGGAGAGGGTATCCAGGGACCCCCAAGCACTGGCTCTTGGTGAGCCTGGGGTGAGTGTGGGGGGCTTAAGCATTGCAGAAGGGAAGGCAGCCAGGGGCCCAGGCAGGGTGAATCAGTCCCTTTGGGCATCGGCTGTGGCCCAGCTCTCGTTCCAGCCCTCAGGGTGAGCCCTCATTTGGAAGTGGGGACCCTCTCTGACATCCCAAAGGTGGTGAGAGACAGATTGGAAATCTCCCACCTTCAGCCTCCCTCTCACAAGGGTTTTATTTTTTTCCCTTTCCCCTCCTCATTCCCTTAATTGCAGATGTTCTAATTAAACCCTCAAATAGTTGTTATGCGGTTTTAAAAGGTACTTATTCAAGTGTCAACCAGGCTGGGCAGGGAGGAGGCAGCGTAGGGCGGCGAATTAAAGGTAGATTGACTAATCACAGTGGCGATCATAATAATAAAATCAGAGGGAAAAAAATCACATTACGACTTTTCGTGGAAAGGAGGGAGCAGGCAGCCAGCGGCCGCCAGCCCTGCGCTGCCGCCGACACAAAGAGTGCGGGCGATTCCACGAGACTGATTTATGACGTTTTACAGCCCTATAAAAGCTGTAGCGACGAGGCAAGCGCTTCTACCACCGCTGGCAGATTTAGTCTAATAAATAAAACATAAACAGTTAACTTTATGTGTCACTTTTATTGTTATCAAGTAAAATATAGCCGAGCCCCGGCAAGCTATGATTTTAAACTATAATTGTTATCAAGTGCAACAAGGGGACCCGGCTCCCTCCCTGGGCTCTCCCTTCTGCCACCCCCCTCAACTCTGAGTTATGGGATCAGTTAATTGGAATTGGTGCAAGACGTGGCCACCCCTGGCTGAGGGGGAGTGTGTCAGAAAGCAGCTCTTCCTTGCCCCCTCCCTCCTCCATGGCCCTGCCACCCCACCATCAGGGTATGCCTGTGGGTGGGTAGCAGAGAGAGGGGAGGGTGCAGGAACGGGCTGGAGACCCCCAAGGCCCGCCCGGCATCCCCAGCTTCGTGAGCTCACCCTTCAGCTTTTGGAAGGCGGCCTGGAGCTGGCCCTTGGGGATGCGTGTTTACATGTAAACACATGTGTTACATGGATACAATCCCTGGCCGGAAGCAGGCTCTACAGACGAAGGCCTCCCCCTTAGCTAGGTCTGCCTTCTGTGGGGATGGAGAAAGAAGAGCTCCCTGGGCCTTGGCTGGGCACCATCCCAGGGCACTGGCCCCTGGCAGAGTGCTCTCCTCCCTGCTCCAGGTCCTCGGGAACCAGCCTTGGAGGCGGTTGTCAGAAAGCAGCAGGCCAGACGGAATGGAGAGTGGGAACAGCGGCCAGCAGGAGAGATCCTCTGCTCTGGGCTGGGAAGAGAGGGTTAGTGGGTACTCGGGGAGGGCAAGGCTTCTGAACTCTGCTTTTGCCAACCACTTCCTGTCTCTCTTCAGCGGGGGCTCAACCCCCAGACCTCCAGAAATGACGTCAGAATCATTTGCATCCCGCTGCCTCTACCTGCCCGGTCCAGCTGGGACCCTGCCTCGCCGGCCCCATGGCCAGAGGGTTGGGTGAGTGTGTATGGGGAAGGGGGCTGGACTCTGGTCTCCTTGGATGGGGGGCATCCCAGGCTCACCGGCTTCCTGGGCTCAGCCTGGGCCTCTCCCCATCCAACCTCCACTCCAGTCCTCATTCAACTTCCTCTTCCTGCGAAAGAGGGGCGCTGCCACGGTGCCCTACACAGACTGAGACAGGACCGCCATGAATGGAGACCTCTGTAAAAGCTCGGGAGCCGAAGCCCGAGGGGCCCACCGGAGGCCCAAGGGGAGACCCTGGGAGGGGGCTGAATCACAGCCTCCCGACAGCCCCCCAGTGCCCAGGCTTTAGAAGGGAGCTGGGGCTTCCCATCTCCTTTTGCAGGGGAGGGTTGTCAGTCGGCGGGGTGTGCACTGGGGGCACCGCGGCCCCTGCCAGCTAACCCCGCATCACCGCCACCACCCCCCCAGCACCACCACCACCACACACACAAAAAAAATTGGATACATTTTGAATAAAGCGATTCGGTTCCTTATCCGGGGACTGGGTTGCTCCGTGTGATTGGCCGGCGGAGTCACATGGTGAAAGTAACTTTACAGGGTCGCTAGCTAGTAGGAGGGCTTTATGGAGCAGAAAAACGACAAAGCGAGAAAAATTATTTTCCACTCCAGAAATTAATGATCATGAGCTCGTATTTGATGGACTCTAACTACATCGATCCGAAATTTCCTCCATGCGAAGAATATTCGCAAAATAGCTACATCCCTGAACACAGTCCGGAATATTACGGCCGGACCAGGGAATCGGGATTCCAGCATCACCACCAGGAGCTGTACCCACCACCGCCTCCGCGCCCTAGCTACCCTGAGCGCCAGTATAGCTGCACCAGTCTCCAGGGGCCGGGCAATTCGCGAGGCCACGGCCCGGCCCAGGCGGGCCACCACCACCCCGAGAAATCACAGCCGCTCTGCGAGCCGGCGCCTCTCTCAGGCGCCTCCGCCTCCCCGTCCCCAGCCCCGCCAGCCTGCAGCCAGCCAGCCCCTGACCATCCCTCCAGCGCCGCCAGCAAGCAACCCATAGTCTACCCATGGATGAAAAAAATCCACGTTAGCACGGGTAGGCAACTTTGCTTTTTGCTCTCCCCCTCCCTCCCCTCTTCCCCAGCGCTCCCCACCCTCCTCGGCCCCCTCCGGCCCCCGTCCTCCTTTCTCTCCTTCCCCCTCTCTCTCCAGGAGCGACTCTGGGTTAGCACAATTGAACTGGATTTACGAGCGAGAATGGGTAATTACATCCCCCATAAATTTTATGGCTTAGCTACTCTGGGCAGTCCGAGCCATGTGCTACGATCTGTTCTGTATGTGTGAAAACTATGCTCGCTTTCTAAGGGCGCATAAATAATTCAGTGTCGTTGCAATGAGGATTCCCCTCTTATTACACTACAAAGTCTCCAGCACCCTTCAACTTCTTTATAACCCGTTTAGCTTGATGACTTTATTTCCACCACCCCCTCCTCCTGTTACAACAGAGCTGAGGATGGGGTGAGGGTGGGGGGCGGGGAGCCTGCTGCCTTTGAACCCCACTATTTGCTTTTCCCCTCCCCCTCCCCCAGTGAACCCCAATTATAACGGAGGGGAACCCAAGCGCTCGAGGACAGCCTACACCCGGCAGCAAGTCCTGGAATTAGAGAAAGAGTTTCATTACAATCGCTACCTGACCCGAAGGAGAAGGATCGAGATCGCCCACTCGCTGTGCCTCTCTGAGAGGCAGATCAAAATCTGGTTCCAAAACCGTCGCATGAAATGGAAGAAGGACCACCGACTCCCCAACACCAAAGTCAGGTCAGCGCCCCCGGCCGGCGCTGCACCCAGCACCCTCTCGGCAGCCACCCAGGGCACTTCTGAAGACCACTCCCAGAGCGCCACGCCACCGGAGCAGCAACGGGCAGAGGACATTACCAGGTTATAAAACATAACTCACACCCTGCCCCCACCCCAGGCCCCCATCCTCCCCTCACACACAAATTGACTCTTATTTATAGAATTTAATATATATATATATTTTTTGGTTCTTTTCTCTCTTCCTCCCACCTTATCCCTTGTCATTTCCAAACAGACAAAACAGATAAACAAACAAGCCCCCTGCCCTTCTCTCCTTTCCACTGTTAAGGACCCTTTTAAGCATGTGATGTTGTCTTAGCATGGTACCTGCTGGGGTTTTTTTTTAAGGCCATTTTGGGGGGTTATTTATTTTTTAAGGAAAAAAAGCTGCAAAAATTATATATTGCAAGGTACGATGGTCTGGTTTAGGTGCGTTTCAGGGGAAATGAGGAAAAGAAAAAAGGAAAGAGATTTTTAAGCCAATTCTCCTCCTTCTTCTTTCTCCTCCTCCTCCTTCCCCGCTCTTTCCTTAGGCCTTTTGCATTGAAAATGCACCAGGGGAGGTTAGTGAGGGGGAAGTCATTTTAAGGAGAACAAAGCTATGAAGTTCTTTTGTATTATTGTTGGGGGGAGCTGGGAGGAGAGGGGGGGAAGACAGCAGACAAAGCTAAATGCATCTGGAGAGCCTCTCAGAGCTGTTCAGTTTGAGGAGCCAAAAGAAAATAAAAATGAACTTTCAGTTCAGAGAGGCAGTCTATAGGTAGATACCCCTCACCCCCCCATCGTGGTTATTGTGTTTTTGGACTGAATTTACTTGATTATTGTAAAACTTGCAATAAAGAATTTTAGTGTCGATGTGAAATGCCCCGTGATCAATAATAAACCAGTGGATGTGAATTAGTTTTACGTCAATGTCTGATGGTTTCTTTTTATCCCCCTCCTCCTTCTGACCTGGTATAACATCCCACCTTCTCTATATAGTTGCCGAAGTTTACTCTAAGCAAACACACAAATCTTAACTCTCAACTCCAGTTTCCCAAGGTCCTTAGAAGAACCAGCAAAAGGTTTGGGGCAGAGGATCTCAGGGGAGGGGATGTGGAAGATTAGGGCCAATTTCTCTGAGTCTGCAGGGGCCAGGCTCTCCTGGGGGTACTTAGAGTGGAGCTGGGGGGGGGGTGTCTCACTTCTCTAGAGTTAAGCACAGTGCCTTCTTTTGTCTATTTCCTTCTCCTCTCTTCTCCTTTCTCTCTGATGAGTAGGCCTGCCTAATTTGCAGACTAGAAGGCAAGTTTAGGGAGTTGGGAGGAAGAAGAGTTTTCATCTTTGGGAAGCTCTTTGGGAATAAGGGATTAAGGAAGATGCCCACTCAGCATGCCTGTTCTCCTTAAAAGAAGAAACATTTTGAGCTGGTGACTCTGAAGCAGCAAAGTGACCTGTCAGGATGGCTTCTCTGTTTGTTTAGACTTGGAAAGAAGGGTGAAGTGGAGGCCAGAGGCCTGGGAGGCCCCCTTGCATGGGTAGGCCTCAAAGCCTGATTCCTAGAGATAATGAAGCACTTTTATTTTTTCCCCCTAACTTTTATCATGGACCTGCCAGGTGTTGAGAAAAGACACAGGGAGAGGTAGGGACCACCCCTCTTCCTACAACTTCCCAGGTCCCCGCAGGGCTTGGGATAGGCAGAACAAGACTGCCTGGTTGTAAAAAAAATTTTTTTAATTGTTTCCTTGGGGGCTAAAACAAACAAACAAACAACAACAACAACAAAAACTGAGCTGGATTACCTGAAGGACTAATTTAGGCCAAAGCCTCCAGCGAATTCTGGTCCTGGGGCCCAGGCTCTGAGCAAGGCCTGCTCAAATGTTCGCTTGTTTGTTGGGAGAAGGTGAGGAGGTAGTTGGTGAGCTTCTCAGGCAGTTTAACCAAATTTCAGGATGGAGGGCTATCAGAGGTAGAAGAGAGAGGGAGAAGATATCTGGGGTAAGTAGGGGAGCCATGGATACCGCTGTCCCCTCTCCCCAGATTCTGGAGTGAAAGGCAGCAGAAGAACCAAGTTATGAAAATCTGTTTGGTGAGCTTTGGATTTATTTCCTCTTGAAGGACTTGCTTGCTGGTACTTAGCGTGTGTGTGTGTGTGTGTGTGTGTGTGTGTGTGTGTGTGTGTGTGTG